AGACCTCCCTCTTTTGACGAAACCCCTTTTTTGTAGCCCCCCTTCTACAATCCCCCCTTTTTACAAAGAACCCTCTCCTTTGCTAAGACCCCTTCTTTTGTTTAAAAAAGAAACAAACCCCCCCTTTTTGATGTGACCCCTCCTTTCTGTCCCACTTTTTGCAAACATTCCCCCTTTGGTAACCCCTCTGCCAATACCCCCATTTTGCAGCCCCTGCTCTTGCAACCCCCCCTTTGCAGGGACTCCCCTTCACAGCCCCTCTTTTCCTGCAGGAATCCCCCCAAACCCCACCTGGTTCTCACTTCCATCCCTAATTCCATGCTGGATGCTGCTCTGGTCCCAGTGATCCCGGGGGATCCTGGAAAGCAGCAGAGCTGGGATTTGCTGTGTCTGTGCAGAGAGAGAGGGTCTTCCTGCTTTTTCCCTGATTTTATAGACATCTCCCAAGGGAAAGAAGGGTCAGGTTCAGCTTTCCCTGTGCTGGAGTCAGGAAAATACCGTTTGGCAGCTCAGCATGCCTTCCTGGGAAGAGGGCAGTCAGGATAACACCCTCCAAGGAGTTTTTGGGAGTGGGGCACGATAGGATTCAGGATTTATATTGCAACCAGCCCGTGCTGTGACCCTGCAGGGCTGGTCACCTGCTAAATCCACAGGGAGAACAGGCAGCTTCCCAGGCGGGAAGCAGCAGCGTGGGAGCTCAGGGAGGGTGGAGATTCCCTGGATTATCATTCCCTCTGCAGCCACACGCTGACAGGGCACCACCCTCACCTTTGCCCACTTCCAGGTCCGTGCTGAAGCCCAGCACCCTGCCCGACATCCAGGTGACGGATGCAGAGGCCACACCCAACACGGAGGCTCCCGGGAATGGCACAGGTGAGCCAGGCTTGGATCCACCTGGATTTATCCAGGAGGTTGGGAGCAGCTGCCTCGTGCTGCAGTTTAACTCGAGAAAATGCAAACCAGGCTTGGTTTTAGCTCCAGACTGTTTCCCGTCCTGCTCCAGGTTCCTTTAAGCCACTTCCAAAGAACTTTTGTTTATTTTGTTTAATCTTAGCCCCATATGGCTCAAAACTCAATGATTTAAAGATTTTTTTTCCTACCTAAATGATTCCATGATTCCCAAGGGTTTTTGCTCAGTGGGAGGTGGTGGAGAGGAGCTTGGAAAGAAATCGGGGGGATGGAGCAAAGAGCCCCGTGGGATAGCAGGGAAAAGGATGTCAGCGCTTCCCCTTCCCGGAGGCTCCGCTCCTGGGGAAGAAGAATGGGAGCATTGGGAATGGGAGCACTGGGAAGCGCCGCCGTTACCATGGGAAGTCAACAGAGCTGCAAAGTGTTTGTCCCCTCCCTGGTTTTTCCTCTGTGGAGGGGGAAGAGCTCGGCCAGCGCTTCATTAACCCCTTGTTCCGAGCAGGGACAGCGAGGAACGGGACACAAACTGGAATTCCCACAGGGAAAAACCTGCTTCAGGCGTTTTCCTCATTCGTTCTGGGCATTCTGATGTTCTGACTTTTGGGGGTAATTTTTGACAGAGAAGAACCAACTCATCCTTTTGACTTTGAGATGCTCATCCACATCAGGGAGGAGCTGAGCCCTTGCAAAACTCGCTGATCCATGAACCCTCATCCCTGATCCTCCAGCTTTTTCCCTTTTTCTTTTTGATCTTCCCACTCATGATGCTTTTCCTCCTTTAATCAAAGCTTTCCTGGGTGATTCCCACCCCACATCACCCCACTGCAATTGCCCAGCAGCTCTCTCAGCCTTATGACCTTAATTTGCCAGCACATAAAAAAGCCTTTTATTACATTTTTT